ATAACGGTGTTGTAGGGGCTTCCAGACATTCCTTAAGACATTCAAGACCCTGTAAAATTCTCTAAAAAATCATCATAAAGCTACTCCAACTAAAGTTGGTTGAAAGAAGAGTCTTTAAAAATTCCAAAAAAAAAAAAAAAAAAAAAAAAAAAAAAAAAAAATAGTGCAAAGCCGTATAAAGAGCATTGAAAATTTTTGTAAAAAATCTTCCTATAGCTACCCCTAAGGGCTTTGAAAAATTTGTAGAAAATCTATGTCAAATGTGGTTAAAAAATTAAAATTAAAAAATTAACATTTAAAAAATGAGTGCACAATGGCTTCTATTGACCTTCAGAAATTCCTTAAACATTTTTTCTGTCATATAAATGTACTTGAAAATTTCTCTAAAAAAGTGCATCATTAAACTACATCTAAAGGGGTCGAAAATTTTTATAAAAATCTACATAAAAGTTGGTTTGAAAGAGCCTAGAAAAATTCACTATAAGGACTTCTAGGGACCTTCAGAAATTTCTTGAAAATGTAGTGTAGAACCGTAAAAAATGCTTGAAAAAATCTATAAAAAAGATAATCATAAAGCTAAACCTAAGTGCCTCGTAAAATTCTACAAAAATCTAAATAAAAGTTGATTAAAAGAGCTTAGAAAAATTCTTCACAAAATTGACGTATAAGGGCTTCTAGGTGCCATCTGTAAATGAATTCATCGTATAGATACATGTAAGGGTCTCGTAAAATTCTACAAAAATCTAAATAAAATTTTGCTTGAAAGTGTAAAAAGTGTCTTGAAAAAATATATAAAAAAGGTCATAGTAAAGCTCATCTAAGGACCTCGTAAAATTCTATAAAAATCTACATGAAAGTTGGGGCCTAGAAAAATTCAATAAAAAAGTCATTTTTGGGCCTTCAGAAATTCCCTATGAAATTTAGTGTAAAGTCATATAAAGGACATTGAAAATTCTCTAAAAGAAGTCATCGTAAAGCTACACCTAAGGGCCTCGTAAAATTGTTTTAAAGTCTACATTAAAGTTCTACAGAAAAAAAACATTATAGGAAATCCAGTGGCCCCTCGGAAAGGGTAAAAAATATATTGTACTGCTGCATGTAGGTATACGAAAAAAATGATTAAAAAATGATTGAATACCCTCTACCATTTGGAACGACTTTGGCAATTTTCAAAGTTGCCTATTATGAACTTCAACATTCTTAAAAAAAATACTTTAAAAATTATTTCAAATGTTAAAGGGGTGAGTATACATTTTGTCATGCATCATACGCCTCCGAGCACTTTGTTTATTTGTCTTTCCCTTGGATTTCTTTAGATTTCTACTTAAATCCTGTATTTATAATTTTTTTATGTTTTCTTAGGATTTGAATTTAAAAATTTTTAATTTATAAAAAATTTAGGGTATATAAATTCTTTAAAAAAAATCCCTAATGTCCTAGAAGCCATCCACATTTCTTAGCAAAATTACAGCTATACAGAGGACCTTTCAAAATCACCAAATAAAAAATCCTCGATAACATTCATTATTCATTCCAACATTCTTAAAAAAATATTTTAAAATTCTTTCAAATTTTAAAGGGGTCCAGGGATGCGTATACATGTTGTCATGCATCATACGCCCCCGGCCACTTTGTTTATTTGTCTTTCACTTGGATTTCTTCAAATTTCTACTTAATTCCTTTATTTATAATTTATTTTTGTTTTTTTTTTAGGATCTGAATTAAAAAATTTTAAATTTATAAAAAATTTAGAGATATAAATTCTTTTAAAAAATCTCTATTGCCCTAGAAGCCAGCCAAATTTCTTAACAAAATTCCAGCTATGCAAAGGGCCTTCCAAAATATTTAAATTACAAAATCCTGGACAACATTTATTATTCATTCCAACATAATTAAAAAATATATTTTAAAAATTCTCTCAAATTTTCAAGGGGACCAGGGTGCGTATACGTGTTGTCATGCATCATACGCCCCCGGGGGTACTTTGTTTATTTTTGTTTTCTTAGGATTTCTTTTAACTGAAACTTTATTGCAGCAAAATATTTTCCATCGAAAACTCTATATATGTAAGTTCCTGGTGATCTATAGGCATTTCAATTTATAAAAAAACTTGAGTAAATAAATTCTTTTAAAAAAATCCCTAATGTCCCACAAGCCATTCACATTTCTTAAAAAAATTCTAGCTATACAAGGACCTTCCAAAATCACCAAATAAAAAAAACCTGCTGTTCTATGGACCTTACAACATTCTTAAAAAAATATTTTAAAAATTCTTTAAAATTTTAAAGGGGTACAGGACTGCGTATACCTGTTGTCATGCATCATACGCCCCAGGGCACTTAGTTTATTTGTCTTTCCCTTGGATTTCTCTAAATTTCTACCTAAGCCTTTATTTATTTTTGTATTCTTGGGATTTAAATTTAAAAATTTTAAATTTATAAAAAGTTTAGAGATATAAATTCATAAAAAAAAATCTCTATTGTCCTAGAAGCCATCCAAATTTCTTAGCAAAATTCCAGGTATATAAAAGGGACATTCCAAACTCATCAAATTAAAACATCCTGTTGTTCTATGAACTTTACAACATTCATAAAAAATATTTTAACAATTCTTTAAAATTTTAAAGTGTACAGGACTGCGTATACCTGTTGTCATGCATCATACGCCCTTCAGGGTAATTTTTTATTTCCCTTGGATTTTCTCAAATTTTCACTTAATTTCTTTATTTTCTTATGATTTAAATTTAAACAAAATAAATTTATAAAAAAAATCTTGAGTATATAAATTCTTTAAAAAATCCCTAATGTCCTAGAAGCCAGCCAAATTTCTTAAAAAAATTCCAGCTATACAAAGGACCTTCCAAAATCATCCAATATAAAAATCCTGCTATTCTATGGACCTTACAACATTCTTGAAAAAATATTTTAAAAATTCTTTCAAATGTCAAAGGGGTCCAGGGGTGCGTATACCTATTGTCATGCATCATACGCCCCGAGTTTCTTTGTTTATTATTCTTTCCCTCGAATTTCTTCCTTTTTTTATTTATTATTTATTTTAGTTTTCCTAGGAATTAAATTTAAAAAAATTAAATTTATAAATCATCGTGTGTATAAAAATCCTTTAAAAAATTCCCAGTGTCCTATAAGCCATTCATATTTTTTAAATAAAATCTAGCTATACAAAGGACCTTCCAAAATCATCAAATTAAAAATCCTCGATAACATTCATTATTCATTCCAACATTCTTAAAAAAATATTTTAAAATTCTTTCAAATTTTAAAGGGGTCCAGGGATGCGTATACATGTTGTCATGCATCATACGCCCCCGGGAACTTTGTTTATTTGTCATTCCTTGGATTTCTTCAAATTTTCACTTAATTTCTTGATTTATTACTTCTTGTCTTATGATTTAAATTAAAAAAATGTATAAATAAAATCTTGAGTATACAAATTCTTTACAAAAAATCCCTATGGTTCCAAAAGCTAGTTAAATTTCTTAACAAAATTCCATGGACATAAAAGGACCTTCCAATATCATCAAATAAAAAATCCTGCTGTTCTATGGACCTTACAACATTCTTAAAAATATTTTAAAATTCTTTCAAATGTTAAAGGGGTGCGTATACATGTTGTCATGCATCATACGCCCCCGGGCACTTTGTTTATTTGTCCTTCCCTTGAATTTCTCTAAATTTCTACTTAAGCCTTTATTTATTTTTGTATTCTTAGGATTTAAATTTAAAAATAAAATATACGGGACCTTCCAAAAAATTATTTTAAAAAATTCTCCCAAATTTTCAAAGGGATTTCCTTGGATTTCTTTCTTTTATTTATTATTTATTTTAGTTTCCCTGGGATTTTAATTTAAAAATATTAACTTTATAAAACATCGTGTGTAAAAAAATCCTTTAAAAAATCCCTATAGTCTTACAAGCCATTCACATTTCTTAAAAAAATCCTGCTATACAAAGGACCGTCTAAAATCATCAAATAAAAACATTCTGCTGTTCTATGGTCCTTTCAACATTCTCTAAAAAAAAAAAATATTTTAAAAATTCTTGCAAATGTTAAAGGGGTCCAGGGGTGCGTATACATGTTGTCATGCATCATACGCCCTCGGGAACTTTGTTAATTTTTCTTAGATTTCTTTAAAGTTTGACTTAATTTATTTTTGTTTTCTTAGGAGTTAAATAAAAAAAATAAATAAGTTTATAAAAAAATCTTGAGTATATAAATCATTCAAAAATCACTTTTGTCCTCATTCAAATTTCCAAACAAAATTCCAGATATACAAAGGACTTTTCAAAATCGTCAAGTTAAAAAATCCTGGACCTTCAAATATTCTTAAAAAAAATATTTTATAAATTATCTCAAATTTTAAAGGGTCCCGGGGTGCGTATGCATTCTGTCATATATCATACGCCCTTTAGGGTAGTTTTTCAATTTCGTTTCCCTTGGATTTCTTCAAATTTCTACATAAGCCTTTATTTATTTCACTATTTTTGAAATTTAAATTTAAAATAAAATATCCTAGAACTCCCAAAAAAATATTTTAAAAAATTCTCCCAAATTTTCAAAAGCGTCCAGGGCTGCTTATACATTCTGTCATACATCATAGGCCCCCTGGGGTCCTTTGTTTATTTTTGTTTCTCTTGGATTTCTTCAAATTTCTACTTAATCCCTTTAAGATTTAATCCCTAAAAATTTAAATTTAAAATAAAATATCCTGGACCTTCCAAAAGAAATATTTTCAAAATTCTCTCAATTTTTCAAAGGGGTCTAGAGAGCGTATACCTTCTGTCATGCATCATACGCCCCCTGGGGGTACTTTGTTTATTTTTGTTTCCCTGGGATTTCTTTAAATTTCGACTTAATCCCTTTACTTGCTTACCCTGCCCCCAATTGTTAAATGCTTGGATATAGTGTTGGTGTGTGTCTGAGGGGGTGGTGTAGGTTGTGGGGTTTTTGGTGGAGGAAAGAAGTAATTTTGCCAAACATACCTTTATGATTTCTGGCTGGGGCATTGGCTGCCGTGATATGTGATACTGATACAGTATCATGTACATGCATGTGGTGGCCACGAATATAGTCAGGTACATTTTAATGGATTTTCCCAACGCCATGTTTGCAGCTGCTTTTTGGGCAAATGGGCTACCGGCTAGCAGGAGATGAGGTTTTTGTGTTGCAATGATATGGGTGATGCCAGTTTTGTTTTGCTTTTACGAAGCAGCAGCTTACTTTTTCTCTGGAGTGTGTTTTGGAGAATGCCAGCAGGAGTAGGAGGAGCAGGAGAAGGAGTGGTGTGAGGTGCGGTTGGGAAATTTCTAGCTTGACTGGCTGACTGCTTGCAATGTTGGCATCTAACGAGACAGGAAGTTGTTGCTTGCTGTGCTTGGCATTAAACGCCCTGCAATGAATGCCTTACGTCGCTGGAGTGGGATGTTAAGCGTTTTGCTGCAAAATGGGTTTTTGGTAGTTGTTTTCTTTCGGGTTTTTTCTCGATTTTTTTTTCAAACTAGGACTTTTCGTTCTGTGAGCAAAGTCTTCTTCCTTTTTTTTCGGTTTTTGTTAATTAAGTATTTTGTAAATATTTTCCCAAGTTTTCCATTAACTTGTTTTCACTATTTTCTCACTCTTAAGATTTTCTTTTTTTGGTAGTAAAATTTTATTTGGTCATATTCTCTGGCAGCGAGGGGTCCTTTTTCTCTCTCTTGGCTTGTTTAGAACTTAAAACCTTTTAGTTTTTTTATTTGTTTCAATTTAGTTGCCCTCCATTCCACATATATCTTATGGCGCCCAATCATTTCCAACAGCTGTGCCGGGTTGCCATAAAGTTGTTGTTATTGCTGCGATTAGCTCTCCTTCTCTCCGATGGCATAGTTTCCGTGTCAGTTTCCAATTATTTGTTAAAAAGCTGTAAAATAGTTTAAATGTTTCGTTGTTATCCGTTTATAAATCATGTTTTGTTCTCTGTCTCTGTCTCCGTCTCTTTCTCTCACTCAGTCTACTGTCCGAAGCACATATTCACACTAACGTGTTAATGATTATTACCTTTGGTGATTGTTTTTATTGTTGTTTTTTTTTCGCTCTGAAAAATAACATTGGCAATAGTTCAAGTTTATGGCTGTTGTTGATCCTCAGTGGTGCTGTAATTAAAAATTGAAAAAACGAGGAAAATACATGAGAAAAATGGTTTAATTAATAATTTATTAAAATGGGAAAATGGCGGTGGGTAGGTGAGTGCTGACGTGCATCATACGTCCCAAGGTACTTTGGAATAAATATGGGAAAATCAATATTAATACAGGATTTTTTTAATGAATTTTTAAAGGCTAACAGAAGCAGAAGGGATATAGGGCAGCAAGAATTTCCAAAAAAAAAAAAAAATTGGCGACCACAAATTTTTTTTTGAGCGTAAGTGCAGATTTTCTCAAAAAAAAAAAAAAAACAAAAAATAAATAAATAAATAATAATAAATAAATAAATTGGCGTCCACACTTTTTTTTAAGAATTATTAGAGGTCTATAAACCACCCCAATTTCTTTAAATTATTTTAATTATTCAGAAAAGTCAATAGAACTCCAGGGACATTTTTGAAACTTTGGAGAACTATTGAATACCTGTGATTTTTAAAATAATTTTATTTCAATTTTTTTTTTAAAGAAGGAGTTCAGTAAGAAATATAGATGAGAAAAATGGTTTAATTGATAATTTAAGTGGAAAAAATGAGGGGCGTATGAGTGCTGACGTACATCATACCTCCAAGGGTACATTGGAATAAGTAGAGGAAAATTAATATTAATACAGGATTTTTTTAAATTAATTTTTAAAGGCTAACAGAAGCAGAAGGGATATACGGCAGTAAGAATTTCCAAAAAAAAAAATGGCGATTTTGTTCTAAACAATTTTAAAAGATCGGTACTGACGTGCATCATACATCCCAGGGTACTTAAGAACAAAATGCTCGGAAATCAATACATGATTTTTTAATGAATTTTTAGAGGCTAATAGAAGCACAGCGCCAAGGATACAAAAAAAAACATGATTTGCCGACCAACTTTTTTTTGAAGCTTAAGTGCAGATTTTCTTAAAAAAAAATAAATAAATAAAAAAAAAAAATAAATAAATTGGTGTCCAAACTTTTTCTTAAGAATTATTAGAGGTCTCTAAACCACCCCCAATTTTGTTTAAATTATTTTAATTATTCAGAAAAGCCAATAGAATTCCAGGGACATTTTTGAAACTTGCCAGAACTATTGAATACCTGTGATTGTTAAAAAAATGTACTTCGATTTTTTTCTAAAGAATTGTAGGAGTTCAGTAAGAAAAATCGATGAGAAAAATGGTTTAATTAATAATTTATTAAAGTGGGAAAAATGGGGGCGTATGAGTGCTGACGTAAATCATACGACCCAGGGTAATTTTGGAATAAATATAGGAAAACCGATATTAGTATAGGATTTTTTAATAAATTTTTAAAGGCTAATAGAAGCAGAAGGGACACCAAAGATCTCAAAAAAAATGTGTAAACAATTTTAAGAAATCGGTACTGTCCTACATCATACGTCCAGGGGTACTTAAGAACAAAATACTCGGAAGTCCATATAAATAACGATTTTTTTAATGAATTTTTAGAGGCTAATAGAAGCAAAAGTGTCGAAAAGGATACAAAAAAATAAATAAATAAAATTGGTGACCACATTTTTTTTTGAAGCGCAAGTGCAGATTTATTTAAAAAAATAAATAAATAAATTGGCGTCCACACTTTTTTAAGAATTAATAGAGGTCTATAAACCACCCCAATTTTTTTAAATTATTTTAATTATTCAGAAAAGTCAATAGAACTCCAGGGACATTTTTGAAACATTCCAGAACTATTGAATACCTGTGATTTTTTTTAAAATAATTTTATTTCGAATTTTTCTTAAAGAATTGTAGGAGCTCAGTAAGAAAAATAGATGAGAAAAATGGTTTAATTAATAATTTATTAAAATGGGAAAAATTGGAGGAGGCGTATGAGTGCTGACGTACATCATACGTCCCAGGGTAATTTTGGAATAAATATGGGAAAATCAATATTAATACTGGATTTTTTAATGAATTTTTAAAGGCTAATAAAAGCATAAGGGACAGCAAAGATTTCAAAAAAAAAAGGAAAAAAATTGGCGTTTATATTTTTTCTAAAAAAATTTAAAAAATCGGTACTGACGTACATCAAACATCCCATACTCGAAAGTCCATATAAATACAGGTTTTTTTTTAATGAATTTTTAGAGACTAATAGAAGCAAAAGGGTCGCAGAGCGCCAAGGATACAAAAAAAAATGGCGTAAGTGCAGCTTTTCTCAAAAAAAAAAAAAAAAAAAAAATAAATAAAATAAAATAAAATAAAAAAATAATAATAATAAATAAATAAATAAATTGGAGTCCACACTTTTTTTTAAGAATTATTAGAGGTCTATAAACCACCCCAATTTTTTTAAATTATTTTAATTATTCAGAAAAGTCAATAGAACTCCAGGGACATTTTTGAAACTTTGGAGAACTATTGAATACCTGTGATTTTTAAAATAATTTTATTTCAATTTTTTTTAAAGAAGGAGTTCAGTAAGAAATATAGATGAGAAAAATGGTTTAATTGATAATTTAAGTGGAAAAAATGAGGGGCGTATGAGTGCTGACGTACATCATACCTCCAAGGGTACATTGGAATAAGTAGAGGAAAATTAATATTAATACAGGATTTTTTTAAATTAATTTTTAAAGGCTAACAGAAGCAGAAGGGATATACGGCAGTAAGAATTTCCAAAAAAAAAAATGGCGATTTTGTTCTAAACAATTTTAAAAGATCGGTACTGACGTGCATCATACATCCCAGGGTACTTAAGAACAAAATGCTCGGAAATCAATACATGATTTTTTAATGAATTTTTAGAGGCTAATAGAAGCACAGCGCCAAGGATACAAAAAAAAAACATGATTTGCCGACCAACTTTTTTTTGAAGCTTAAGTGCAGATTTTCTTAAAAAAAAATAAATAAATAAAAAAAAAATAAATAAATTGGTGTCCAAACTTTTTCTTAAGAATTATTAGAGGTCTCTAAACCACCCCCAATTTTGTTTAAATTATTTTAATTATTCAGAAAAGCCAATAGAATTCCAGGGACATTTTTGAAACTTGCCAGAACTATTGAATACCTGTGATTGTTAAAAAAATGTACTTCGATTTTTTTCTAAAGAATTGTAGGAGTTCAGTAAGAAAAATCGATGAGAAAAATGGTTTAATTAATAATTTATTAAAGTGGGAAAAATGGGGGCGTATGAGTGCTGACGTAAATCATACGACCCAGGGTAATTTTGGAATAAATATAGGAAAACCGATATTAGTATAGGATTTTTTAATAAATTTTTAAAGGCTAATAGAAGCAGAAGGGACACCAAAGATCTCAAAAAAAATGTGTAAACAATTTTAAGAAATCGGTACTGTCCTACATCATACGTCCAGGGGTACTTAAGAACAAAATACTCGGAAGTCCATATAAATAACGATTTTTTTAATGAATTTTTAGAGGCTAATAGAAGCAAAAGTGTCGAAAAGGATACAAAAAAATAAATAAATAAAATTGGTGACCACATTTTTTTTTGAAGCGCAAGTGCAGATTTATTTAAAAAAATAAATAAATAAATTGGCGTCCACACTTTTTTAAGAATTAATAGAGGTCTATAAACCACCCCAATTTTTTTAAATTATTTTAATTATTCAGAAAAGTCAATAGAACTCCAGGGACATTTTTGAAACATTCCAGAACTATTGAATACCTGTGATTTTTTTTAAAATAATTTTATTTCGAATTTTTCTTAAAGAATTGTAGGAGCTCAGTAAGAAAAATAGATGAGAAAAATGGTTTAATTAATAATTTATTAAAATGGGAAAAATTGGAGGAGGCGTATGAGTGCTGACGTACATCATACGTCCCAGGGTAATTTTGGAATAAATATGGGAAAATCAATATTAATACTGGATTTTTTAATGAATTTTTAAAGGCTAATAAAAGCATAAGGGACAGCAAAGATTTCAAAAAAAAAAGGAAAAAAATTGGCGTTTATATTTTTTCTAAAAAAATTTAAAAAATCGGTACTGACGTACATCAAACATCCCATACTCGAAAGTCCATATAAATACAGGTTTTTTTTTAATGAATTTTTAGAGACTAATAGAAGCAAAAGGGTCGCAGAGCGCCAAGGATACAAAAAAAAAATGGCGTAAGTGCAGCTTTTCTCAAAAAAAAAAAAAAAAAAAAAAATAAATAAAATAAAATAAAATAAAAAAATAATAATAATAAATAAATAAATAAATTGGAGTCCACACTTTTTTTTAAGAATTATTAGAGGTCTATAAACCACCCCAATTTTTTTAAATTATTTTAATTATTCAGAAAAGTCAATAGAACTCCAGGGACATTTTTGAAACTTTGGAGAACTATTGAATACCTGTGATTTTTAAAATAATTTTATTTCAATTTTTTTTTTAAAGAAGGAGTTCAGTAAGAAATATAGATGAGAAAGAAGCAGAAGGGATATACGGCAGTAAGAATTTCCAAAAAAAAAAAAAAATGGCGATTTTGTTCTAAACAATTTTAAAAGATCGGTACTGACGTGCATCATACATCCCAGGGTACTTAAGAACAAAATGCTCGGAAATCAATACATGATTTTTTAATGAATTTTTAGAGGCTAATAGAAGCACAGCGCCAAGGATACAAAAAAAAAAAAACATGATTTGCCGACCAACTTTTTTTTGAAGCTTAAGTGCAGATTTTCTTAAAAAAAATAAAAAAAATAAATAAATTGGCGTCCACACTTTTTTTGAGAATTGTTAGAGGTCTATAAACCACCACAATTTTTTTTAATTATTTTAATTATTTAGAAAAGCCAATAGAACTCCAGGGGACATTTTTGAAACTTTCCAGAACTATTGAATACCTGTGATTTTTAAAATAATTTTTTTTCGATTTTTTTTCTAAAGAATTGTAGAAGTTCAAAAAGAAAAATAGATGAGAAAAATGGTTTAATTAATAATTTATTAAAATGGGAAAATGGCTGGGTGGCGTATGAGTGCTGACGTACATCATACGACCCAGGGTACTT